AAAGAGAATTTGTTATTTTCGTTCGACGAAATATTGCGAAATAATATACGAATAACATAAAGGGAAAAATCGATATTTATTTAATTTATATATAATTCAAATTGATATAATTTATGCTGAAAATAATAAAACTCATTATTGTAAATAATTTGTATATATAATAATTTTAAAATGTAAAATGATATTAGTGAACTTTCTTTTTTTAAAGATAAAGGTTCAAAATTGCGATTGTATCTCATAAAAAAAAGTTTTTCAAGATAATCGTTTATAAACGCAATTATTTTAATATGATAAACTTTTAATATGATAAACTTTTTATTATATCGATTTAACGGTTATTACAGAGGAACCATAAAATCTCATAATTTTTATGAGGAACCGTTAATCTGGAAATTTCCTTGAACAAAGAATACTATCCTAAAGCATAATTGGATTGTATTAGTAAGCGCTTTTTATGACGAATATCTAAATTCTTTCTTGCATGTTCTATATATACGTAAATAGACGTGTAGAGAGATGTAGTAGAGAAATGAGATATACAGTACTTTTCATTCGTTACGGTATTATTCTTTGTAGTCTCTCGACGTTTTGATAAAACTGTTTACAAAAAAATATTAATTAGCGCAGATAATGCATAAGGACTTTATAATGCTTAATCACTGCTACGATTTCCTTCAGATGTTAGCAATTACGCAATTACAGATCTGTGAACGCGTACATCATTCGCTATCTAATCATCTCTGAAACCTTGGGTTTCTTAACACTAGAACGGCGCTGAGCAATCATCTTGACCTCAAAAAATCTTTTCCTTCTGTCGCAAAATCTGTATTCTTATCAATTAATTGTTTAATTAATTATTATTAGGGAGTAATGGAGAGAGAGTTTATTATTATATCAAAGATTTGCGATTTTTTGCTGTTCTAGTGGTAAATGGATATGTTGTATGTAAATTCTTAAGAATGGAAATCACAATTAAGACTTATGGAACTCCCGTCTTTAAATCGCGGACGAACAATGCTCTTCCCTCATTCCCGAGCTACCACGAAGATTCACAAAATTGAGATGAGAAAGCAGCGAATTGTGCTCGGCACTCCTTCGTAGTAACTCCTCCGCGGTCGTCCAGACCACTTTCCATTTTCTACCATTCAACTTTGTTCCTTATCCCGTGCAATGCCATGGTCCGCTCAACGTGGAACAATGCTGAGTACACAATGCACATTTACGCGATATGCGTTTGGTGTACAAAATGACAACGAGGACTCGGCCGGATGGTGTGCGCGTTAACGCGAATGGCCAATGAGGTGCCAGCCTTGGTAGAGCTAACACAACCGAGAATCCATTGTATCGCACTTGAAAACAATGGTATGCGATTCTTCCTTCTCTCTCTCTCTCTTTTTCTCTCTCTCTCTCTCTCAAACTCTCTCCTTCTCCGTCCGCCACCCTTTTACTCTGGTTCTATTTTCCGTTTCGCAATGCCATGGTCCGCTCAACGTGGAACAATGCTGAGTACACAATGCACATTTACGCGATATGCGTTTGGTGTACAAAATGACAACGAGGACTCGGCCGGATGGTGTGCGCGTTAACGCGAATGGCCAATGAGGTGCCAGCCTTGGTAGAGCTAACACAACCGAGAATCCATTGTATCGCACTTGAAAACAATGGTATGCGATTCTTCCTTCTCTCTCTCTCTTTCTTTCTCTCTCTCTCAAACTCTCTCCTTCTCCGTCCGCCACCCTTTTACTCTGGTTCTATTTTCCGTTTCGCTTTTAACTCGTTTTCCCTCTCTGGTTTTCTCCGAGAATGTGACAGTTCCTTCCACATATTTGTCTGCGCTCCTGGCAGACCTCGCTTTTGCTGCTCTTGCACGACGTCTATTTTTATTTCATGTCCGATCTCCTTTCTTGCGTCGACTTCTAGATATATGGCATTCATTCCTTTTTTCCTTTGAATTTTCACATTTCTTACAGAATCAAAAATTATTTTTGATGTTCGTTATCATCAATATGAAAACGACAGGATGCATTTAGCGTGCAGTAAAAAGTTCGGTAAAATGTTCGTGTCGCCAATGTACGAAAGCACGTGTGCATGAGGGAGGAATCGCAAGCTAGTCAAGTGCAAAAATCGCAGCTAAATGTTCTGTAAACGGTGCGCCCGACGAGGTTGCGGCCAACTCGAGCGGAACGAATTCCAGAGATGTACCATTATTTCAGAACTTTCTCAGATCACAGGTCATGAGAAATGCAACTTGGCTTATTATTCCGAGTAGTGGCATTGCTTAAGGCAATGCGTTTAACCTTTATCATACCGACGTCTAATGATATATTTGTGACGTCAACGGGAGACTTGTTTAATCTTCTGCAAGAGATAATGTAACTTAGCGAATTTTTATTTAATACTAAAAATTGTTGTCCAATTTAATAATTATTTTTATTTCTTGTGACTAACGTTAATTTTTTTAATATATCACATTTTTTTGATTGTAATGATTCTTATGAAATTTTAAAATTAAACGCTTCATGCACACATAAACGAGTGTTAACGACGATGAAGTCAGCTTTTTTACATCGTCGACAACAAATGAATGTTGGTTTAAAACAACAAACTTGACTTTATCTACGTTAATGATGATATGTCGTAATGACAAAAATAACATAAGTGGAATAGCTTCCGGCATCGCAATTGTTTTATGACTCAGACAAGAAACTCGTTTGACATCTTTGGTATAAATAATAAAAAAAAAAAAAAAAAAAAAAAAAATAAGATTGTCATATAAGATTTACGTTGCCACTTAATATTCTATTGATAGGATAAACGATAAAGCTCGTTAGGGGGCGCGTACTGGCGCCAATAAAATATTATTTTTTCCACGTATTATTTATTCGCAAATCCGCGCATGAATGATGCATCAATCCTGAATAATAACATCGTCGAATGTGCAATATGCACATATACTTAGAGATATTAATATGATTTTCCCGTCACTTCCCGGCGACAAATATAATAAATTATTATATGTTATAAATTAAGTTGGATGCAAAAACATGGAATGTCTTTCAGTTGTTCATAACGCTTTGATGATAAAAGTTAAATTCTTTTGCTCTTTTTATATTCTCTCATATATCGTTTACGATCATATCATGCAGAGATAAATAGATAATTTTAATTACCGCTTTGTGTTGGCTAATAGAGCGAGTGATAGAAGTTTTTTAACGAGAAAAAGAAAAACCGAGAGAAAATATCTTGATAATGGAGAATATAGTGTTTCATAATATATGTAATTAGAGAAGAATATCAATGAAAACAAAGAAAAGAAATTTATCGAAAAAAATGAGATAAAATAATTCTCAAATATTTTGTCTCGGATGTTTTCTATTACACTTTATTTTGCTGGCTTTGATAAATTTCTGACTTTTATTTTTGTTTGTCGGTTTTGATAAACTCATTTTATGGTTTATCATGGGCCAACTATCTTAAAGTTAGAACATATTGACTTCTGCTAAAGTCTTATATCTAAGAATTAACTGTAACCACAGTCAACATATTCAAACATTATGTATGACCTTAACCGAATTTAACCTAGCAGCGATCATGACTACTGCGTATGATACCAAATTTTCCATTGACTTATCACACAAGTGTTGAGACTTGAGGCAATTCCCAGCTTAGTGTACTGTTGTCACAGACCAGATGTGTTTCTAAGAGCCAGTAAAACCAAATGCTCTTTTATTTGTAAGAAAATACCGGCAATAAATCATGACATAATTCATTTTGCAGCGATTCTAGAGTATATATCATAGACAAAATTAAAACGAAATATATTACACAAGACGTTTTACCGCAGTTTCACATAAATGTCGACATTATTCCTCTCGTACACAATACTAACCGCATACGAGTTTCTCAAGAAAGACGTTTGACTGCGTAACACATGTAATAATTATCGCGTAATGGCGATTCTAGAATATATATCAAAAAAAAAAATAAAAAAAAAAAAAAAAAAAAAACAAGTTATGAATGCCAGATACATTTGATATTTTCTTAGTTGCTATTGTTTTCGGTGAAATCTCACAAAGCTGTCACATTAATTCATACATTAATTTTTACCTTTCAGAGCAACGTGGCATTACAATCGCATAGCATCAATCATCTTTTAGATATATCGTTTATCTGAATTGATGCTATCAACATCGCAACATAAATTACAAAGGACTTTTATGAATACATGTGTTACAACTTAGCTGTGCAGAAACATTCGGTAAATACTTGATCGGTTTGCAAATTTAATCTATTCGTTATCAATTTACAATAAAACCATTTAAATTGTGGGATTTATTGCCAGAGCTATAAAGCTATATGTACTAATTCATGAAATAAACCAAACTCCGTTAGTTTTATCTTTAGGAACAAAGGGATTTCGTAAACAGAAAAAGAGAGAGATGAAATAAATGTGAACAAATCTAAAATAACAAGACAGTTAAAATTGTTTTAAT